AGCATAAAGCCCGCACGCATATGCGTGTAAGGGTTCTGGCCCAGCGCGGCGAAAAAAAGTGGACGAATAAAAATATAACTACGGCATGATGAGATTGGTTGCAGCTGTCAAACTTCTGCGCTTGTATATGGACAAACTGGGCTCCCTGGACCAGGCCCAGCCCTTCAGTGTCAAGCTGGACGGTGTCGTGAGCTCCGCGGCGGGGTGTCGCAGGTAACCTCTCTTGATCTCTTGATGGACGTACATAGAAATCACAAACCGCGAAGGGGCGAGAAAAATGTAACAAATGCATCCTCCATAGTAAACAGATCGGCCGTTAATTTAAAGCCGAGAGTGTTCAGACTTGGAGATTCGCCACAACCGCCTTAATCAGGAAAGCATTTGCTTCACTCAATTTAATTCTAAGGTCGTTAACTTCAACTACAGCTGGATCTCGCTAAACTATGTAATGACGTGAGCAAGAGAGGCCCCCGACGTGAATGTGCCCTTTAGAGTACAATAAGTGGAGTAAATTCCAAGCTCTGTATGTGCTCGTTGAGCATTCACTTTTGCGCAATTTCTTACAGTGACAAAAATGTTATGGACACAAGCGTGGTCAACGTCTCGGTGAAGCGGGTATGTACATATATCACTTATGCACAAAGCACAAAGTACAAATATTCACGTGACACTATTGCGTAACCACAAGAAAACATGGGTACAAAAGTATTTAGTTTTGAAGACTATGGAACTCCGTTGAGAAGAAACTAGTGGTACACGTAGTGTAACAGGATAAGTCTTTGATCTTGTGTACATACACCCCGCACTGTCGGTACGATTGTAATTGATGATACTATGTGACTGTACGAAGCACATGTTCCGCTTTGGCAAATTTATAACATCAGTACCGTCTAACGGCATTTATGAAGATGAAGGGATGTTTGTGATACACGTGGACATCACGCAGTGCATCAAACAAAAAAGATGAAAAATTAATAATTGCAAAATGCATAAATTTAGAAAATTAATCAACTATATGTGCTCATAAAATAATAACACAGCAACCTAGGTAACTAGGCCCGCTCTCGGTTACAGTCAGCAAATTTAACCTTTGCGTTTGCCACCGCAGTTTTTTTTTCAGCTACAGGGTAGCTAGTACGCACCCAACCTCTGTGCGCTCCTTTTCAATGCAAAGCTTTGTCTGTGCTAGGTGCACGGCAACCCTAATGCAGACGCCAATGCCGACGTCGTTGTTTCGTGGCTAGACCAATCATAAGTTAAATACCATGAGTATATTGTGTATATTTAGCGACAAGTGGACGATAAGACAGTAATCTACCAAAAGCACGAATCAGAACTTCATGGTAGTACGCAATAGTGCACACAAAATGTTTTAAACATATTGTTATCATGCAGAAGCCTTTTTGCCAAAAAAGCTGACAGCGACTGGTTTGATTTACACCCGCTGCGTGATTCACATGAAAAAAGCGTCAGTGACGTTACGTTGCTCTCAAGGTAACAGCCACTTTCACGTGCTGCAAAAGTTAGTTTCGCGAGCCAAGTCAATCTCGCGATGTCCTGTTCCATCCCGGGGGGGGAATTAACACGCATGGTGGGTCCCTTACCAGCACGTTGCTATATATCTCCATCAAAGGATGTTGACTCACCTATAATCACTTAGGTCGACCGACCCGCTCCTAACACCCTGTTCAGTGCGATTATTCTCAATGATAAATTGATATAAAACGAATGACGATCACAGCTCTTCAACTGTACCATTTTGGTGATCTCGCCATCTTTCAGTTTCTTGGACGTATCCCCTTGTAAAAAGTTTTCCAGCCGTTAAAAGCTCCGTCGGATGTCATATGAAGAAACTTACATACTTAGGTAGCCCGCTCACTCCGGTCACGAGTGAAAAATCTTTCCATATACCGCGGTGGACCCATCACACGGTAGTTTTAACTCAGAAGTACCACCATACCATGACAAATAAGAGACAATCTCCAGAACGTAACCCTCCTTTTCACGACTTACAGTCGCTTATAAGCTCTATCAGCTCTGGTACGAGAAAGGTTTCATTTCAGTCGCTTCCGCTTTCCACCGGCACCGACACAGCAAGCAACACTTCATAGCACTTCTTTATCGTCCCACCAGGAATACCTTTAAAGGCTGCGGTATGCAACTGCTCGTTTCTGTCTCTTCCTGAGACCTCGGCCTGCTGCTTCTGACTCCGAGGTCTGCTCGAGGTATCTAGTAATAACATAGCTATTGAATTTGTATAATCTCATGTCCCACATCAAAGCAAACGCAATCTTGTGCCCGCACAAAACTGACATATGTTTCCTGACAAAAGTGGGATTCATGGCTCGCCATGCTCTAGTAAAAGAAAAGGTGGTGGTGTCTATCACTTTCGAATCCCAGTTAACCCATGGATTGTGCAGTTTTAGTAACACCATACGTTTTGCAAGTGTTTCGCAGACTGAAGAGGAGACTTCTGTCTGAGAGAACAGAAACGGAAAGCAAATTCGAATCCTTAGTTCGTTGTTTACTCTAAGTCTGACGGCAGTCTGGCTCTAAACTGGCTAGTGGATTTCTATCCGCAAGCCTCTAAACATATGGTTTCTACGAAGCACCCTCTCTTTGTCTTCTGCACAGTTCTGGGTAAGAAACACGTGGAGTGTACTATACAACACGACGCTTGCGTTTCCACTGTTTGGCTATCATCAACGATACCTAGGATCGTATTGTATCTCAAACTTAAGTCCAAGACGAAAAAGTGTCACACGTGCAAAGTTCATCAAAATGCTTCCGGCTCAACAGAACCTTTAGCAGTTCCCCGTCGCTAGCCGCACGGATAAAGTACAGATATAAGGCATCCTCAGCGCCTGCATATTTTGTCTAGTACTTGATAGTCGATCTTGAAGGACTTTATTAGACATCACAAAGCCTGGGCGCTGGCATCGTCAGCTAACAACCTTCAGCTGTAAGTCTCACCTCTCCTAGATGAATCAGTTTTAGGGTAAGGCCCAATGACCACAATTTTTAGGAGGTACAATGATATCTAATCTTTCTGGGTAGGCAGAGGGTGAGACTTGACGCTTCCTCGTGAAGGGTTCATCGTCTGCTCTTGCGAGGAAATACAAAAAACTTTGTACCCTTCAGCTAAGAGAGAGGGGAGCACGCAACGTGCTGAGGTCCATTGCCTCTGGTGTGCTCGTAAAGCTATTAGTTATATTCCTTGCACCCATCCTGTCCTTGCGGCACAGAAGCTGAACTGCTTGTTTATTTGACACACACCTTTCCGCAAGAAAACTAAAGTGAACGCGGAAGGTCTATATCCCCCGAGAAAGGGTCAGATTCCCATGCGGTGATGAGAATTCTTAACACCCGGACATAGCCTATCATTTCTTCTCTCCCTTGACGGGTAGGCAAAACCTTTAAGAGCACCCGATACGCCTTTGAACATCTGCGCTTGAGCTTATCCCATGTTGGAAGCCCTTTTTTTATCTAAGACATAGTACATTTATGTCCCATCTCGCGCACGATTTGCTGTGGCTTCGGTTGAAGCGAAATCGAATCCGGGGCCAGCTCAACTTTTCCCAGCCATAGCTCGATCGATTTTCTCCATCCTCACCCGCAAAGTTTCGGACGCTCAAAATTAGTTACCTCACGAAGAAAGCCATTTATTTCCCCTTCGGCACCTGTCGAAATGCACTTGATGTGCATACCAGGTAATTCTTTGAAGCTGGTCAACGCTACCAGACGAGCGATTATCGCATTATCGCTTTCGGCTTTCATGCCGCCACTTCCTTGATCCCATAAAAAAATTCTCCATTAAGCGACTTTAGTTCTCTCGGGGACATGTATTCGAACGATTCATGTTCCATTCTCACAGAGGATACAGTCTTTTGATGACTCGGTCGTGGGATTGACAACAAGTGCTACAGGTCAATGGGGGTGCCGTGCTCTTGGCACGGTAAAGTTTTGGCCCTAGGAGCTTGCATTGACGCACCGAGGTTCGATTCGTGTAATTTTACCAGGAGCGGAGCCGAAAGTCTCCTTGGTAACTATGTGTCTAGTAAGCTCTGTAATTTAAGATTTTATATACATAGATACAATGCTATTAAGACTAACACTAAATTATTACGTTTTACTTACTTATAATGAACAACTATGTTATGCTTGAATTGCGGCTGGCACCACAAACCCGTCCAATTTGGAGTTTTATCAACTTTAAATACGCCGATGCTCCGTTGCTTATAAATCTTCACAAATACATCAAACTGCAATGTGGATTTTGTACAATTAAATTTATTATGTAATTGTGCGAGAGGTGTAAGGCATATGTACACAAAATTGCAGTTGTTACTCCGATACACTAAGTCAAAGCTTCTTCTGTGCAAGGTGCACGACAACCCCGCTGCATTTTGCTCTCATATCAGGCTTAATATTTAAGATTGAAGAATTTCTGTGACCGATGAAAGACTTCGTCTCATCGAGTTGCCATATCCAGCTGGCTGTCATCATGTTTGTAAACCAATGACATCATGTGGAAACATGTCCATCTTCAACAGCACTCTTGACTTCATGGGTACCGTAAATGACTCTCGAATAGATATCCACGATAAGTTGTGAGCAAAGGCTCGAAAGTACATCCAGCATGGTGATTTTTTCTAGCTCGATCTTGCATATGTAAAGCTGATAACATGTGAAGATAAAGTTACGTCATGAATATGTGAGAACAAGCTTAGAATCAGTGATGAGCTGCTTGGACAAAGTACTCGATCGATTACATTACGATCGACAGTCTTCACTTTACACATAACTTTTGTCTCGCAGAAAATAGAGAAAATGACAATGGTTAAATCTTCAAATATTTCAGATACTTTTCTACCATTATTAAAAAACATTTCACTTTACACAAAAAAAGATCATCTTTATTAATTTAAATTGTGATAATAAGAGGCTTGAATTTTTCATCATCAAATTCAAAATTCAATTTCAGTCCTCAAATTCTATTCATGTCAACAGCAAGCTCACTAAGCTTCTATCGCACTAGTCCACAAGAGAGTGTATCATTAGATGATTTCGAAGAGCTGGGTCGATTACGTCTCAAGCTGTTAAGTCGGACATGTGCAGAATGGAGTTCACACACAAGATCAAAGCCACCAAATCCTCGTATGGATGAAGTTGTCGAATTACGAGAAGGTACGGATGCCGATCTTTTGTCTCATTATGCCCTTCGTCTAGCATTTTGCAGGTAGGAACTAGTGCACATTCTTTTTCATTATCGAACTATTATATAATTTATTTTCATGTAAGGAACAAAGAGTCACGAATGACTGGAGCTGGTTCATTTCCGCCGAATCAAAGCTTTTTGCCGTTCGTCTTAATAACTTACCACCAGAATCAGCTGTTACGTTGTTATCGCGTGAAGGAATAACCTTTGAACTATTGGATCGAGACAACTTTAAGAGTGTTCAATCACAAAAAGGCATCTATCGTGTTCCATTCACGGAAGCACTACAATTGGTGAACCAGCGTGAGGTAGTGCTTCATGATGGATACTGCTTCGTACCTTGTCGAAGAATGAATATTGTTGCTATCCATCACTTTGAACGAAGTTTGCAAGATCAAATGACAGATCTTCAGTATGCTCTGCCGGCTCAGGGGCTCGAGCTCGAACGATTGACGCCATTACTTGATGCACTTGTAAAGGAAGCGCATGTTTTGTCTGGTTCGGAGTCTTTGACGACAAAATTATCTGCTCCACAACTCGACGTCATTAAAATTGACCAAGTGGCTGATATGCACTTCCCATTGTGCATGAAGCAACTCCATCGTAAGTTGCGCGAGAATCACCACCTCAAATACGACGGACGCGTCCAGTACCGTTTATTTCTTAAAGGTGCTGGAATGTCGGTTCACGAATGTATTCAATTCTTTCGCTCGGAATTTATCAAGACAATTCCTGCTAGCAAGTTTGATAAAGAATATGCATACCACATTCGTCATAGTTATGGACTTGAAGGCTCTCGGAAAGATTACAAACCATTGAGTTGTGAGCAAATTATCTCAAATAACGCACCGAATCACGGACAATATCACGGCTGTCCATTTAAACATTGGGATCGTCAAGCATTGCAAGACGAAATTTATCGTTGTCATGTACCTGTGCGTACTGCAATGGATATTTTACAACAAGCTACTTCAGGCAATTTTCAACGTGCATGCACCTCATTTTTCTATGCAACTCATCATCGAACGCCTTTGACTCGATTACCAAATTGTCCAGACTCCGATCGCACTGGAATTGCTCCTATCATGATGCATCCAAATGCATACTTGAATGCAAGTCTTGATACTTCCATTTAACAATCACTTCTTTTTTCTATTGGCTGAAAATTCAGTTTTCAAGACGAATGGTTGTAATTAGCCCTGCAGATGGACTACCGACGGATCTACGCAGTTTAAACACTAGGAACGCGACACCTGAACAGCTTCTTGCAATTTTGTATGAGTTGCGCAATACTGTTGGACCAAGTACGTCTGTAAAAGCATGAAAATGTTGATATGTTAATATATTTCTTATCATCTCATTCTTTTGCTTCTTTTAGAGGTCGTGAACAATGCTATCGTTAAAGTGATGGTGACAAATGATTATGTAGTTCAAAGTAATGAATGTGAGAATCAAAAGCTGATGAAAGATAAGAAGGAAAAGCATCAGGATACAAGTCGAAAGAAGAAAATCAAGTGCAAACGCGAGTTCAATCTCACCAACTACTCTATGCGAACAGTAGCCATTAAATTTCTCTATCTAGGCGAAAACTATGCAGGTTTTGCACGTCAGGATCATATGCCTGAGACTGTGGAGCGGTATCTTATTGAAGCATTAAAGCGCTCAAAGTTGATTGACAAGATTGAAGATGCTGAATACTCTCGCTGTGGTCGAACTGATCGAGGTGTTAGCGCTTTTGGTCAAGTTGTCGCGCTTCGTGTGCGTTCAAACTTGCCAGCAAGTGCACAATTGCTCACCGGATCGTCCATTGACGACGTTAAACCTGGTGAAAAATTCAAAGTGCGCTTAGCAACAGGTGAAGAGAAGATGGTGACTGAAATTGACTATGCTTCACATCTTAATCGAGCACTTCCAACTGCCATTCGTGTCTACTCGGTAGCATCATGTCGTTCTGACTTTAGTGCTCGATTTGACTGCAAAGCACGCATGTACCGCTACTTTTTTCTTCGTCGCAATCTCGACATTGAAAAGATGCAAGTTGCTGCAAACGAGCTGGTTGGAAAGCATGATTTTCGCAATTTCTGCCGCATTGATACCAATTGCCAAGTGTTTGAGAGAAAGATACAGTCATTTCAAATTGTCAAGTGTAGCAGTCATACTGCTGAAGATCCACGTCAACAAATGTACCGTTGTGAGGTCTTTGGACGTGCGTTCTTGTGGCACCAAGTGCGCTGTATGGTTGAAGTGCTCTTTTTAGTTGGATCTGGACGAGAAGAACCGTCGATTGTGTTGCAACTATTGGACATTGCACACACACCGCGCAAACCACAGTATGATATGGCAGCAGACTTGCCACTTGTACTGCACGACTGTTACTTTGCATCACCGGATGAGAAAGAAAGTCCGGGTCCAGACTTTTGGTATACCCCGCTTGCGTTGCTGCAAGTGCACGCTGAGCTTACGGCAATATGGGAGCAGCGAAGTGTACAAGCGGCAATGTTGCGTAGTCATCTAGATGCACTTGAAGAATTTCAAGTGGATCCACAGAAAGTGGTGCAAGATCTAGATCACTACGCACCCAAGCTCGAGCAACTGATGCAAGAGCGTAACCTTTTGACCACCAAGGGTACATTAGTGAGATGGAAGGAGGTGAGTCCGTTGCTTTCCTTAGCTAAAAAGAGAAAGACATTGCCACTGGCAAAACGCGACACGGGACACTCTGTTGATGAGTGTAAACGAAAAGCTCAGGAACGCAAACGTCGACGGGAGCTAGAGGAGCAGATTGTGATAGAGAAAAGAGAGTTGGCTTTTAACGTCTCGTCTTGATCCGATAGTAGCGATCGGATATTATTGATCTAAAGCTTCGTTCATTTTTGCTAATATCCAGCTGATACGAAGGAGCTCTGGAACGTCGCGCTAATCTCGAAATCTCCCGTGATGTTATATCCGTAATATTCCTGTCACTTGATAGTTCGTTAACAGGATACTGTGCGCAGTAGAGGTATGTTTAAAAGTACACATAGTTACATTCTTGGTTTACAACCAGTACGCCTTTGTCGATGCCATAATGTGACTCTTCATTCATTTCACAGCCATAATAGACAGCAACATGAGATCAGCGTTGAATCATACGAGCATGCTGCTTGCAAGACGGAGCTTTGTTGAATGCAAGCCGTGTAGAAACACGTAGGCTTGCACTACAAAGTCTAAGTTACCAGAGAGTGATGTGGTGAAAGGTAGCCAGCTTGGAACTTGAAAAGATCCAAGATTCAATTGTAGTCATGCCTTTTCCTGACAATGAGCGTGGCACTTGTTCCCTTGGGAAGATAGAACAATCTTATAAAGAAATCTGACAACGTAGTGTCTTCAACTGAAGTAAGTCTATGTAGGATTACACAAAATATGACATTTGACAGTGTAGTGTACTATTTAGGATTACACAAAATGCTACTACTAATCTGAAGTAGCCACATTAAGAGGTAGTGTAACGAAGAGAGTCAACTACTTTTGCTGATATTTCAAGATTAATTTTAGTATTTAGGGTCGTCCACATCACGAATCACACCGATCTTCATAAACTGCAGCCTGGAATGCTGAAGATTCCCGTCATTGACCTTCATCACTACAAGGTCACTGGCAGCAAGGCTGAGTGTGAAAAAGCAGCCGACTCACTGCATAGATTTGGTGTTTTTTGTGTTCGCGATGAGGTCGCATAGATTTTCCTATTATAATGGCAGTATTTGGAATTTACTTGATTACATGCATTTTAGCGAGCTGCAGATAGCGACAACGATGCTTTTCTCGACATGATGGAGCGATACTTTGAGTCAGCAGACTTTTTAGAGGACGCACGTCCAGAATATCACTATCAGGTCGGCGTCACTCCTGAAGGTAAAGAACGTGCACGAAACCATTGCGCTCGCGTCGAAAAGCTCGAGAAACAGCATGTTCCAGTATCTCTGTGTCCACCCGAAGCAGATAAAAAGAGTCGATTTTTCTGGCGTGTTGGTGAACGTCCATCTGTGAGTACACTTATAAAGTCTTCATTTGAAATATTCTCACTTTAATATCGTTGGTACAAGCATACCGCGTTTCAAGAACTTAATGCAGACCCAGTAATTCCTCGCCAATTTCCAGAATGGGAAAATATCATGAACATGTGGGGTCATAAAATGCTAGACACAATTACAGATCTCGTGGAACTTGTAGCTCTTGGACTTGGATTAGACAAAGATGCCCTGGCAAATCGCATTAAGTTTGGTCCGCACTTATTGGCACCAACCGGCAGCAATTTTCATAAATTCAACCAATTGAATGATGTTTTAGCGGCATATCATTATGGTATGTAAACTTGTCTATTTGAATATCAAGCATATATTTAATTCCATGGTTTCTTTGCACAGATCTCAATTTGCTAACTATCCACGGCAAATCTCGCTTTCCTGGACTATTTATTTGGCTTCGAGATGGCACACGCACAGCTGTGACAATTCCTGATGGTTGTTTATTAGTTCAAGCGGGGAAACAGATGGAATATCTCACAGGTGGTTACATTCAAGCGGGTTTTCATGAGGTTATAGTGGCAGACTCGACTCTTCGTGTAATCACTCAGCGCAAACTATCAGGTAAAAGTCTCTGGCGCGTATCGTCAACACTATTCGCACATACTGCATCTGATACAATACTCGAACCATTAGCACATTTTGCGACACCCGAAGCATGCAGAAAGTATCCATCAATACTGGCAGGTAATCAAGTTCTCAAAGAGCTTTCCCAAATAGATCTTGGAACTGCATTTCACCGTCAAACTACATAACTATCAATAAATGGCATAAATTCGTTTTCATAATGAGCTAATCAGTGTAAATCACCTATTTGAATGTATAAAATGTCAGCATAATATGAAATATAACAAACTCTTCAACGTACCGATCCAGACGGTAAGATCCCATCTTCCGAATCATGAAGTCGACATAAACTCGCAACTTGAAGACGTTTACCTCGCACTGTACTCAAAAGTTGTTGTCCTCGATATGTACTTGACGTTGTACGATACGATTTACGTTCAGAAACATCATGTTTTCGAGACAAATCCATCGTATGACTTTGTTGCATGTCAAAATTTAAATTTTTCACTCGTTGCTTTTCTCTACATATTTCCATTCATCATAACCTATTAAACATCATACAACTTCATTTTCCAACTACTTACATCTGTCGTTGCTTCTCATTCCTTCGTTTCACCACATATCGTTTGTCAATCATTTTTCCTTTCATTTCTGCTTCTTCATCTTCTTGTTTCTGTCGTAAACACATACGTTTCGTATCTATCAACAATTGTATTTGCATTTTCTTCTTTTCTTTTTCTTCTTCTTCCATTCTTTTCACACGAATTGAAACCTTTCGAGCTTCTTCAAACAATTGAAATTTCGCTAAATTCTTTTCCGTTGTTTTCAACTCAAGCAATTCTTTTGAATCTTTCACATGAGATTTTTGAAATGTTTGAAGAAACATTTCAAGTTGTTCCGTTTGAACTTGATGAGTCTTTTCCATTTCAATTGAATGTTTCAAAATTTCATCTTCAATTCTATCCATTCGACGTGCATACAATGCATCATGACGTTGAGTTAATAGTAAAACACCACGTTGAAATTGTTGTTTCTCATCTTTTTGTCGTCGACGTTCATACATTTCTTGCATCATATGAAATTCTTTCTTTAATTGTTTCAATCGATCACGTAAAATAATTCCTTGATCATAATCTTGACTTTTCATTGCTACATCTTGTAATAAATGCGTGAATTTCATTTCAATTGTTGTAAAAATTGCACTTTGATCATGTTGTTCCACAAAATCATCTTTTGAATATCCAAAGAGTTGAAAGACATCACTTAATGACTTGATTTCCATCATTTTAACATCGAATTCATTGAAATTATCAACATATTCTTTCTTTACAATTGCAAAGGAAATATCATCGTAGAACTAACATAACAACCTCAATCAAACGATTGTATACAACTTTAATGTCTAACAAACATACCTGCTTCTCATCGTCATGCATCATTCACTTATACGTTCAAAAACAACAACCAAATTCTGAAAATAAAACGTTGATTTCATTCTATCTTTGGTTAGTCTAAATCTAAACACTAACGTTTACGCACACGTACAGCCAATGGTCCTTTTACTGGTAACATGAACGATAGATCATACGTAATATTCCATGGATCTTCTACTGTTTCAATATCAAAACGAGTGAAAAGCACTGCAAGTACTAATTTCATTTCAATCATTGCTAAACGCATCCCCATACACTTGCGTGGTCCTGTACTAAATGTAATGAATTCTGGTGGTACAATCTCTTTTCTTGCTCCTGATTCATCAAACCAACGTTCAGGACGATAAACAGCAGCATCTTGTCCCCAAACACTTTGACGTCGTGCTGCAGCATATTTTGAAACGACAATGATCGTTCCTTTTGGAATGAATGTACCACTTTCAAGTGTTGTATCACGAGTAGCATATCGATAAGTTGAAACAGACCAAAGACGAACACTTTCTTTCACTGCTGCATCGAGATACACAAATTCTTGAATTTCTTCAAATGTTGGAAATTCATGTTTTCCAGAATAAAAATCTCGACTTTTTTCTTGAATCTCTTGACGAACTTTGTTAACAACATAAGGATAACGATTGAACATAACGATAAGCCACGAAAGACTAAAAGATGTCGTGTCTTTACCAGCTATAAAGAAATTGACAGCTGTATCTTGAAGTTCTTGTGGAGTGATACTTTCAGTCTCTTGAAGTAATAATGTCAATAAATTTGTAGCTTCAGAAAGAGTTTGTTTGTTCATCGTTTGTAGTAGAATCTTTCGTACCATCATTTGAACTTGTTTCATACTTTCTCGAAGACGTTTTTCCGTTCCAATATTCAACCAACGAGAGAGTTTCCACATCCACATTGGTGTTTGAAAACGATATTGAACAGCATTAAGTGCAATATCCAATGGATGAATCTCTTCTTCATCTTGAAATTCTTTGAAATCAATTCCAAATCCAATACGAGTAAAAACATGAGCTGTAAATTGATTCAATAATGATTTCAAGTTCACAATATCTTGATTCAATGCAGCAGATGTCAACACATTTTCAACTTGTCGTATCTTTTCATAAAGTACCGGAATCATCATCTTTCGAAGATTTCGACTTGAAAAAAGTGAAGTCACAGCTCGACGTTGTTGAGCCCATTGTTCACCATTGACATTTAATAATCCATGACCTAAAACATCAAATGACATTTCTCCAAGTGTTCCACCTTTTTCAAAAACATGAAATTTATCAACAAAAACATCATGAAGATCTTGAGGCATGGACAATACAATCCAAGGACGTTGAAACAATAATTTCAATTGCCATGGTTTTCCATTACTTGCATTTGTTTGTTCATTGATCCAATCACTTAAACGAGAACGATGAAAGAACAAAAGATCCAAAGTATTTCCAAGAACTGGTAATGTCGATGGAGGTTGATAAAGTTGCTCAATCTCAGGATCAGGGACTGGTACCGGTAAACTTAACACTTTATATGAAACGTAGATTGTTGAGATTGTACCAAGTGTTAAAAGTACCATGTGATAGGTACTTTCATGACTTGTAATGGACCACATGTTTAATGCTTGATGCAAGGCAAATTGAAAAATGGTCTCAAGATGGAACTCAACTCAACTCCAGTCAATATGATGACACGAGAATCATAAACTTTCATCTGTTCATCTTCGATTGCACGAGGTTTGAAAACTAGGCGTCAAATTGTAAGAAATACTGCACTTTAACTCGGGACATCGGTACTGGGTACATTGTACCTGTAGAGTTGGGTACAAAAACAACCTTTCGGACCTTTCAACGTAACGACGTTGATCATGGGCAACTCGTGGAGTGAAGATAGACGTCTGAAGTCGACGATATCATACACAACTTTCTACTCTCAATTTCGACAGAATGTAGCCAACGTTTCGTTTCATCAAGACTCGTCATCAGATATGGAACAGATGGTTCTGACAATGGTACAGGAAAATCCAAAACTTTTGATGTTGCATGAGAATGTACCAGTGGCACGTTTGGGACATCACGAAGTTGATGCAACTGGGCAGAATGTACCAGCCACAATTGAAGAACATATTCTTCAAGGACTGTGTATGAATCCACTCAGTACATCGGATAGCCTTAATCGTGTTATACAACAATTAATTACACGATTACAAGACGATGAGAGTTTGTGGATCATTGGAAAATATCCACGTGCTGCACAATTATTTTCAAGTCAAATGTACAATGTAACTACAAGTATACGAATGTACCAGTTGCATCATCAGTATTTGCAAGTTGCTACGATTGTTGGCAAAGTGGCATTACATGACACTTTTTATGACACCAAGTGTAATCGACTACAAGAGGTTTTTAATCTTTATCAAATGTACCTCGATATGACTCAACATAACCACAATGGAACTCGGTCATCAGTACTATTTGATCAAAAATTAACACAAGAAATGCTCGATTTATTAAAGACACAACAGAAACTCGAACGTACGTTAGCACTTCCAACTGGCGTTTTAATAGGCACTTCACTTATCAAGACACTTCAGAATTTAATGATGTTGCATGCTGTGAATCAACATGCCCTTCGTTTAGCTGTGGATTGTGCCGAACAGTTTTCTGTACCCCCTCGACAATTTTGGTGGATACTTTTACGTACGTTTAGTCGAACAAACCAATGGGAAAATATTATGACATTAATACAATTTGGTCGACCACCCATTGGTTACGTACCTATTGTTGAAATGATGCTAGACAATCAAAAACAGGAAGATGTGCTGAAACTTGTTCCGTTTATACATGACGAAGATGAACGAAATCAAGTGATCGCACTCTTGGTAAAGGAAGAAGAAGAGACTGAGTAGAAACAAAGATACTGCTAGACGTAATCAAGTAATCAAGGGTACAACATGGTGGTTACTTTTACCCACTTCAACTTTTATGATTCACTTACTTTTTGTATGATCAAGGGTATCCAATGAGTAACCCAGTACTTCATTCGTGCTTCCGATAGTATCCCCGATCTCATGCTGCGTCTTGGCCTTCAATCGCGTCGATGTATCTTCGTATCTACATCACGTCATGCTTTCTTTTCGTCTATATCTCTTGAAACAATGGCCGTACAGTCTATGGCCACGGCTTTCCGTCAATCTGGACACTTACAAGCTGATTTAGATCCACTACAGCTACAACCACGTCGAATCTTACCATCTCTCACTGCTGAAAATTTCCATCCATTATTCAATCGAACACTTTTTTCTACTGACTTGACTCATGTTGTATCACTTTCAGTAACTACTGGACAACAACTTTATGATGAATTGTATCGTGTCTATTGTGGGAAAATAGGGTTTGAATTCGAATATTTGACGTCACAAGATGAAAAGAAATGGCTTGCACATGCAATTGAGACATTATCTCTACAAGACGTAACTCCATCCGATTTACGTAATGCATATACGAGTATGTTACGTGCAGATGTCTTTGAGAGCTTTATGGGAAAGAAATTCGCTTCTTTTAAACGATATTCCGGTGAAGGAGCTGAGTCAATGTTACCAGCAGTTGAAACGATCTTACAAGCTTGTACAACATCTTCTATTACGGACGTTGTCATTGGAATGCCGCATCGAGGACGACTTGCGCTCCTTGTGGGTACGCTAGAGTACCCCGTCCATCAAATGTTTCACAAGATACGGGGGTACACTGACTTTCCAGCAACTTACCGTGGGATTGATGATGTGTCGTCTCATATTGCAACCACCATTGACAAAAAAACTTGCCATGGTCAAGTTCATGTTTCTTTAGTCCCGAATCCATCACATTTAGAAATTATCAATGCTGTAGTTGCTGGAAAAGTACGTGCAAAGAATGATGATGAGGTTACTACACATGCCATGGGTTTGTTACTTCATGGAGATGCTGCATTTGCAGGTCAAGGATGTGTACCAGAAGCATTAAGTTTATCTCAATTACCTGAATATCAAATTGGTGGAACGGTTCATTTGATTGTAAATAACCAAGTGGGGTACACAACGACGTATCCTGATAATCGTACAACACAATATGCATCGGATATTGCCAAAAGTATTGAAGCACCAGTTATACATGTGAATGGAGAAAGTATTGTGGATGTTATTCGAGCGTGTCGTCTTGCTGTAGCATATCGTAAAACCTTTCACAAAGATATTGTGATTGATTTGATAACGTTTCGTCGTCATGGACATAATGAAGTGGATGAACCACGTTTTACACAACCTAAAATGTATGCACGTGTGGATCAAGTCACTCGATTTCCAATTCGATTTGCACATGATCTCGAGAAAAAAGGATTTGTGTCACGTACAAGTTTTGAAAAAACTATGAAACATTTTAACGATCATTTAGAAAATGAACTTACGATTGCGACGAGTGGGTACATACCGACTTCTATCGATGCTTTTAAAGGAAAATGGGCTAAAATGAAGCAGCCGACAATTGAAATAGTGTATGTGAATCCTCTCACTGGTGTCGAAATTGAAAATCTCATTCAAGTTGGTCTTGCGTCAGTGCAGCTTCCTAAGCACATTCAACCACATGGTCGTCTCCAGCGTACGCACATTACTGCACGACAGAAAATGCTTCAGATAAAAGAAGGTGAAAGTTCTGGAGACTTACGTGTGGACTGGGCAACAGCTGAAGCCATGGCGTTTGGTACATTAATGCAAGATGGTCACTCGGTGCGATTAGCTGGTCAGGATTGCCGTCGTGGTACATTTAGTCAACGACATGCTGCATTTACTGATCAAGAAACTGAGGAATTGTACTTTCCATTGCAACATCATTTGCCCAAAAGAGAAGAACCAGTGGGTAAACTTAGTGTTGTAAATAGTAACTTGTCCGAGCTTGCAGTCATGGGTTTTGAATACGGCTACTCGGTAGAGAGTCCTTACAATCTAGTGATTTGGGAAGCTCAATTTGGCGACTTTTTCAATGGAGCTCAGATTGTCATTGATCAGTTTTTATCAAGTGGTGAATCCAAGTGGATGCGTCAATCTGGTCTCATGTTATTGCTGCCTCATGGAAATGACGGTGCGGGTCCTGATCATTCTAGTGGTCGCATTGAACGCTTTTTACAGCTTGTGGACTCACCTGCACTTACTCCACGCCATTCTATGAAAGATACTGGGATTGACCCGATATGGAAACAATATATGCACGACACGAACATGATTGTTGTGAATGTGAGTACACCAGCCAATTTCTTTCATTTGTTACGTCGTCAGCAACAGCGATCGTTTCGCAAACCTGTAATTATCATGGGTCCAAAAATGTTATTACGTCTTGCCGATGCTACGTCACCATTGTCTGAAATGGGTCCAAATACATCTTTTCAACCTGTGCTTTCGGATCCATTGATCACTGACGCCTCACAAGTCAGAAAGGTTTACTTTTGTTCGGGCAAGTTCTATTACGAACTTGCGAAAGAGCGACTTTTACGATGTAAAAATCCTCAAAGCATTGCGCTTATTCGTGTTGAAGAATTGGCACCGTTTCCATTCGAGCAGATCGCACATGAACTTGCATCGTTTCAAAATGCCAAACAGTTTGTGTGGGTGCAAGAAGAACCATTGAATCAAGGAGCCTGGACGTACGCTCAAGCACACATTGAAAAACTATTGGGTAAGAAACAACATCTTGACTACATTGGCCGTGAGAGTCTTGCTGCTCCAGCTGTTGGCTTGTCCAAACGTTCTCAAGAGCAACTTGAAGTGTTGTTGGCTGAAGCTTTTGGTCCGCAGAAGTAGGAGTTTGTATGTAAGAGCATTGGAAAGTTACTCAATAGGACGGTAAGTAGAACTGTTCAATTCGATAACATGTCAACAATCTCCATTACATGACTACTACCATTGCTTCTATGGCTCACTATAGACAATAGCAGAGGCATAGCTTACAGATGAATCACCGTGACGCATGCAAGCGCTACTTTGAGCATACTTGACAAACTTGAGACTACACTTAAGTTTCGTTGACGCTAAAATAGTTTGCAGTAAAAGTGAGATTGGATGACGACCACAAATGGTGTTTTTTGTTTCATTGAGATACGTCGTAAAGCCATCGGGATCCAATCGCTCGATAAACTAGAAGCAAAATCATATGAATGAAAATCAAACAAGAAGAAAAGTATCATGACACGACGTACTTCCATGCCTTGATGATCTAAATATTTGATAAATTCATGTATTTCACCATACGTCGAATCATGTGGTTGGTATCGAAATCTTAACATGCCAACAAAGTTTATGAGAATGTGATTGTTTCCATCTCAACTTTTTCTTCTTACCGAGGTCCCCAATGACAAAAATCAGAGCTAATAACAAAAAGATTTTCGTCATTCTCAAAATATGGCGCTAGGATTCTAAAAATTCACAATCCACATCCCAAAACTTCATCAAACCATGTCTTTTCACCTCACATTTCACTTACTTTCCATATTCTTCATCAATTTTCGTTTTAGTATTTCCAACTAAAATTGGCACAATTGTAAATTTTCGATTTTGTAGAACCTGTAAAGATTGATACATATAGCAGAAATTATATCTCTCAAGAAACAATAATTCAATACGTAGCATACCTTATATATAAACGGAAGGTGTAATTCAATACTATGTTCATCTTCGTCCACATCCATTGACATGGTTGCAAACTTGCCCTGTCCTCTTGCATCAGTCTTTTCCATTTCCTTTACATTCGTCGCAAAAACTTACCGAATCCACAAGTTTCTCATTCACTTCACGATCGATTGGTATGTTGCCCAACGGTGTTTCATATTCATGTGCAGTTGATACAGCACATCCACTAATAATAAAAAACATTAGATATCATATCTAATCTTTAATAAATCAAGACTAAAATAATGTACCCCACCGTAAATAAAAATGATGCGATGGACCAAGTATAAACACGCGTTTAATCCGATCAAGATGAAGCAAATGATGGTATGCATATGCTGCCGTGGAGCCCGAGTATCTAGAGTAGAATCGATTAGTCTTTAGACTGTATTTTAAGTACCAATTCGAACGTACCGAAGGCCTGCATGTGGACCAATAAGAGCACGAATACTTCCGTGCTGCGTTTCAGTATAATTCGTCTTCGCAATATCTAACCAACCTGCCAGAGAGTTACAATGAGCTTAGGAGAATGTATAACGTTTGTTTAATTACCTTTGAGTTCATTGTCGAGTTCATGTTCATCATGTGAGTACCACGAGCCTGCATGCGTTGCTAGTCGTACGCGCACGGAACTTGGTTCGGGTTTCTTCGACATGAGAAATTCTAGATTTTTTGTCAATTGCGACATTAAATTGGCATTTCAGTATACACGGACAGAAAATGTATACTTGGGTACAGAATCCGCATTTTTAAGGTCGTAATAAAGCCATTGATTACTAAACTTTAATGTTCGGTACGTACTGTATTATGGTGTATATAGACAGTACACTTTTGCTCAAGTACGTGTGAGGTATTGGAGTTACTTCATGCAGTATATTGAATTATAATATATTGAGTATGAGTTCAATATGACTCAATTTTAAAATATGTGACCATGTTGATAGACTAGGTACCTAGTGACTGCAAAACTTGTAGATCAACTCTTGGGCGAATCATACGAGCCTAAATTGTGCGCTTTTGTCAACCCGGACAATCGTAAATCATAGCTTTCTCTGGCGAATTTAATCGTACTATCTACGCCTAAGACTTACTCGTTCTGCAGGCAACTAGTCGTACCTTTAGGTGCTCCACCCACCCGATTGTATTCGTTTTGACCTTGAACACCCACTTACCGTGCATCATGTCGTCCGTAGGCTCTTTAGTACTACCTAGCACCATCGTCTAGTCTTTGTGCCGCGTATGACCTATGTTCGGATTTTCATCATGGTGTTGCAGGAGAATCTCTACCATTTCCGTTAATTGGCATTAACCTTTGTGCTGCATGTTTGGATACCACGCGTGTAGCATGCGGAGTTCGCACCCACCGCTTCACATGGATTTTGCGCTTTTCCTAGTAAAAGAAACGTTCTTTTAATCACCATCTTAATGTTGGTGAGGACGATTTATCTGTTTGTAGAAGGTGTCTCGATGTTCTTGACATGCTAACTCATGATCACAATAATGGTATTTCGTGAAAACATGTGATCATCATAGATTCTATCGCTGCGATCCACGGTCGTACCGACCATCGAACCAAGCTGTCTTCCGGGCCCCGGTGCACGCCGATCTAAATATCACGGTGTCACGGAAATCAGGCTCTTGACCGATAAGCACTTCAATCGGCGATGCATTTTTAATGTTCGGGCTTGAAAGTGTAGCAGGGCTGCTGTTGCTCTTCGCTTAGAGCAAGCTTACTTAGGTCACCGACCTTACGTTTTATACAAGAACCAGTACGAGTGCAGCGGATCACAATCCGCTACCCCCAAGAGTACTGAAAAACCTTAACCAAGGCAAAGACACTCTTCCGCTCTTAGCATAAGCGTCTACGACGTCAAGACAGTCTTGCCGAAGTGGCATTTTAAACTTCCACGGGATCATGACGCTTCGTGCCCCGCGCTTCTTGGAAGTAGCCCGGGAAGCCGAAGAGCCATTAGCTGAGGTCAAGCTATGGCCATGAGCTGCTGTGGTCGTAGACTCACCCGTGTGAGAAACCACAGGGCTCGCGGGAGTGTGATGGATTATTCCATGTGTCGCAGGGTGACAATTTGCAGGAAGTCGGTGTTGCGCCTTAAGTTAGACAGCGAGGACAGTTCCGATGCCGCTGCGTCTATCGCTCAAAGAACTCTTTATCATCTGCAGCGGTTTCGCCAGGGGCGAGCACCACAGGAATAGTCCGAATTGCGGGTATTGGAGCGCCTCCTTCTTGGGCTCAAAGTCGTGCGCGGTACCGATCCATCGAAATTTCTTAGAGTACCAAAAAGCGAGCTCGGAGAGCTTCCCGCTGGTCAAGCTCAGCTTGTGTAGTGGATGGGGGCCCGACTTTGTAGACGCCTAACGGTCGAGTGATCACGTCTTTCGCTACAGTAGCAGGGTCCTCCGAGAGGAAGCCAAATTCCATACGAGGGTCTATGACCAAACGTGAACACGAGCGCATGAGACTCGCCCTACGGGCAGCCTCCAACTGCTGCTCCTGTGCCTCGTCGAGGCGATTGGTAATAATACCACTTCCCCCGGAAGTCGAGAGGTCGGGGAACGGACACGCTGTCCGCAAGGTTCGAGCAGGAATCATGTCGCGCTGTTGACGCACCTCCCCCTCCTCATCTTCCCATACTGGAAAAGGAGTATCCGACTCGTAGTCAGCTTTCTCCAGATCCTTGACGCGAAAATCCGTCGCCCGAGGCGGGCGCGGTGTGCGGCGCTCTGTTGCCGA